GGTCCAATGAAGACAAGATCTCTTGGCGGTGCATCATACTTTGTGACTTTCATTGATGATCATTCAAGGAAGTTGTGGGTATTTCTTATGAGGAGGAAATATCAGGTTCTTGGATATTTCAAGCATTTTGTGGCGTTAATTGAGAGACAAACGGGAAAGAAGCTGAAGTGTATCCGCATTGATAATGGTGGAGAGTATTCTAGACCATTTGATGCTTATTGCAAAGAGCATGGTATAAGGCATCAGTTCACGCCGCCTAAGACTCCACAGTTGAACGGGTTGGCTGAAAGGATGAATAGAACGATTGTCGAGAGGATGAGATGTTTGATCTCACAGTCAGGCTTATCGATGACTTTCTGGGGAGAAGCTTTGAACACGGTGGTTCATGTGCTAAATTTGTCNTATTGCAAAGAGCATGGTATAAGGCATCAGTTCACGCCGCCTAAGACTCCACAGTTGAACGGGTTGGCTGAAAGGATGAATAGAACGATTGTCGAGAGGATGAGATGTTTGATCTCACAGTCAGGCTTATCGATGACTTTCTGGGGAGAAGCTTTGAACACGGTGGTTCATGTGCTAAATTTGTCACCGAGTGCTCCATCGGAGGGTAATATTCCAAAGAGGGTTTGGACTGGTAAGGATGTATCTTACAGTCACTTAAGGGTCTTTGGGTGTAAGGCATTTGTTCATATTCCCAAGGATGAGAGATCGAAGCTTGAGATGAAGTCACGGCAGTGTGTGTTCATCGGTTATGGTCAGGAAGAGTTCGGGTACAGATTTTATGATCCCGTTGAGAAGAAGCTCGTAAGGAGCAGAGATGTTGTGTTCATGGAAGATCAAATGATAAAGGACATTGACAAGTCCAGAAATCCAACTCAAGTTTTTGAGGGTTTGATCGATACAGAGGCTACTCCTTCTACATCGGTCCACGGTGAGGTTGAGGTTGAGGTTCAGGATGATACACCGAGTGCAAATTCTCCCGCACATAAAGATGGTAGTGGTGATCATGGTGACGATCATGGTCAGACACCAGCTGCTGAGAACCAACCTACTGTTGTTAGAAGATCCGAGAGAGGTCTTAAACCGTCGACAAGGTATGATCCTAGTGAGTATATTTTACTTACTGATGGGGGAGAGCCTGAAAGCTATGATGAAGCTTTGGAGGATGAACACAAGGATATGTGGTTTGGAGCCATGGATGAGGAGATGGATTCTTTTGAAGAGAATCATACATTCGAGTTGGTGAAATTGCCTAAGGGCAAGAAAGCTCTGCTTAATAAATGGGTGTTCAGAATTAAGCATGAGGATACAGGTTTTCCACCTAGATTCAAGGCTAGATTGGTTTTGAAAGGCTACAGCCAAAAGAAGGGGATTGATTATGATGAAATCTTTTCTCCTGTTGTGAAGATGTCATCCATACGGGTTGTTCTTGGATTGGCAGCGAGCCTTGAACTAGAGGTTGAGCAAATGGATGTGAAGACTGCTTTCCTTCATGGTGATTTGGAGGAAGAGATCTACATGGAACAACCAAAAGGCTATGTGAAAAAGGGTAAAGAAGATTTGGTTTGTCGTTTGAAGAAAAGTCTTTATGGATTGAAGCAAGCACCGAGGCAGTGGTACATGAAGTTCAAGTCTGTTATGGGGGAGCATGGTTATGCAGAAACTGATTCAGACCAGTGCGTATTTGTGAAGGTGTTTGGTGATGATGATTTTATCATCTTGTTTCTGTATGTCGATGATATGTTGATTGTGGGCAGGAACATGGAGAGAATTAAGGAGCTGAAAGATCAGCTAAGCATGTCCTTTGCCATGAAAGATATGGGTCCAGCGAAACAGATTCTTGGTATGAGAATTGCTCGAGACAGAAGTGAGAAGCTGATTCACTTGTCTCAGGAGAAGTACATTGAGAAGGTACTTAAACGGTNTGAGATATCTCAGAGGGACTTCTGATCTGAAGATTACTTTCGGGGGTAAGAAGCTTTCGCTTGTCAGTTTCACTGATTCTGACATGTCTGGAGATGTTGATTCTAGCAAGTCTACTTCGGGTTACTTGGTAACATTTGCGGGTGGAGCTGTGGCATGGCAGTCAAGGCTGCAAAAGTGCGTTGCACTATCTACCACTGAAGCAGAGTTCATTGCTGCAACTGAAGCTTGTAAGGAGTTGTTGTGGATGAAGAACTTCTGTGAAGAGATCGGTTTCAAGCAAGAAAAGTATGCGCTACTTTGTGATAGTCAAAGCGCAATTTGTCTCGGTAAGAACTCTACATTTCATTCGAAGTCGAAGCACATTATGAGAAGGTATCATTGGATACGAGATGTGGTTGCTTCTAAGGAAGTGGAACTTGAGAAAGTTCATACGGATGATAATGGGGCTGATATGATGACAAAGTCTTTACCGAGGGAGAAGCTTGAAGTATGCCGAGGGATAGCCGGAATGGCTGTTTCCTCCACCTAGTCGGAGGGGGAGTTTGTTGGGTTCCTTCTAGATAGAGGAAACCCATTGGGTTTGGTTGGTGATAACCAAACTTGGAAGTTGGGCCATTGATATTAGTCCATGAGATTAGTATTGGGCCTTAGGGGTTAGTGAGACACTATATATAAAGTCTCTTGACCTAATTTTGTGTAGAGACAAGAAAAGAAGTTTTAGAGAAAAGAGAGAAAGAGGCAGAAATTCGTCTGGATTTTTCAAGGCAGATTTGGAGGGTCAAACAGATTCCTTTTGAGCTGATATTTTGTGGGAAGCTTCTTCAGTCAGTGGGTTAAAGGTTCACTGAAGGGATTTGGATTTCAACGGTTGGATCTTCTGTTGTCTGGTTTTCGTGAAGCTGGTCGTCACAGTTCTTCAGCAGTGCTGTCTTGAGTGTTTGGTAAATCCGACGGTGAGATCTTCTCTGTTTGAGCTGAAATTTGGCAGAGGTATTGTTGACTTGTTTATCTTGGATTTTTACGGTGGGATTAGTCTCTGGTTACCGCAATATCGTTTGGTTGCTGCCGGTTTTGAAGCTTTGTTGTTGCTCTCTTGTTTTTGTTGTTCTTGTGTTGGAGATAACTCTTTGTAGCTAGAGTCTCTGTTCTGTTCAGGTTGTTGAACAGGGAGGATTTGGTTGTACTCACATACATTTATATAGTGGATTGTTGAGTGGACTACGGTCCCGTGGTTTTTCCTTCTCACATCGAGGAGGTTTTCCACGTAAAAAGTGCTTGTTTCATTTAGTTATCGCTTATATTATATCCTACTATCGTCGAAGTATTTTCCTTATAGATTCACACAAGGTCAGGGGAACTTATATACATATTCCGCTGCGCCGTGTCTCGTTTTCCCCAACAAATGTTATAGATGGAATGTACGGACCTAAAATAAAGAAGCAGAGCTAGTGTGTTTTCTCTAGTGATCAATATAATTCTTTAAAAACAAATAGATTCTTGAGAAATTGTTTAGACTTTCTCTTTCTTAATACTCAACTTCATTCATGTTTACCTTAACTCCGTTTATCTTTGTTTAAACAAACTGCAGTTATTTCACAACATATATTTCTCTTATACAAACTGTAGTTTATAATCCGTTTGTCTTGTATCGCTCTATCTACTATAACCATTTGGAGCCTATATTTCCTACGTTTTATTATATATGTGCTTTAAGATTATGTGGCACATATTTTAAAAGAAAATATTAGTTTTTTTCTATATTTCTAACTAGTAACGCTATTTTATTTGATTTAGTTAAGTAATAAACTAAAAAGGTAAGGATAAAATTAGGAAAACTATCAAACATATACATTGAAAAAATATATCTACAATTATAATGAAGGTTTCAAAAAAGACAATTATAATAAAATCTACAAGGACACTTAGTATGAAAAAGAAAATTAATATTTACCAAAGAAGCTTGAATATTTGACAAAAGAAAGAACTTGAATAATAGGGAACGAAGATATTAAAGTATTAGAATATCATTAGTACTTAACCATGTGATGATGGTCTAGTGGTATTTATGTTTTTTTTTTTTACGACAAACGGCTGATCTATTACTCAAACTTGAAGTGGTCAGGGTAACTAGACCGGAATAAAACAACCAACGTACACAAGCTTACGATAAAAGGACCTAGCCGTCTTAGCTAGAGAATCGGAAAAGCCGTTCTGAACCCTAGGAACATAAAAAATCTTGAAATCAAGGAAGCAGATCCTTAGTATCATGAGTCTTTCCAGTTCCGTGGAGAAGATGGGCCATGCATGAGGATTCCTAAATATCTTGATCATCTCCTTGCAATCAGTTCCAAAGCTTTGACATGGCGAATGTTGAAGCATGTTCTCCATTACCCACCGCAGTGCCTTCAACTCTGAATACAACGCCTATTCCACTCTATCAAAGTTACACATCCCCATTAACTGGTCATTTCTAGAGCTATCATTCAATACACATCTACATCCACTAAAAAAGTCAGTAGAAGTCTAAGATCCATCGACCATGCATATATTACCTAGATTTAAGGCCATTTCCAGAGCTATCATTCAAGTTTTGGGTTGTTAATGGGATCATGAGAATATAAGTTTTATATCGCATTTGAATATCTTGAGAAAAAGTTGATCCGTAAATTTTTTCTTTGAAGAATAATCTATATTTTTCTATAAGTCTACCATACCTCTAAACTAGTAATAATAAAAAATAACATTAGTGGAGAATTTCTCAAAAACGAGTTTCTCAATATTAATATAGGGATCCATTTCAACACTTTTTCCATGCAACTAAATTTTAATGTCTAAAATAATTATACCAATGAAAAAGAACACGTGCCAAAAGAACATCCCAAATTTTAATGTCCTTCCTTTTTCGACAATCTTTTTCGTATTTTTTTATTTTCTTGCAGTAATATATTGAGTGAACGATTCACATGAGAAACCATTAATGTGTGTGGTTAAGTCTTCTTGAAGCTTATTTAACCATTCAATCTTTTTGCTACCAAAATATTGGATAGAAGTTTTGACTTTCAGGAAGAAGAATAATGGAAGATCATATGAAGTTAGAGGTTATTGGGAGAGAAGTGATCAAACCTGCTTCCCGGTCAACTCAAAATCACTGCCTTGATCTCTCCCTCATGGACTTCTATTCTCCAGCAAGTTATCTTTCAACAATCTTTTTCTACAAAGACCTTGCAGGAGGGTCTTCGGAGATGGTCTCCCGAAGACTGAAGATCTCTCTGTCGAAGACTCTCACCCGTTTCTATCCTTTGGCCGGACGAATCGAAGACGTTTCCCTCAACTGCAACGACGAAGGTGCCGTGTTCACTGAAGCAAGAACCGATCTCCTCCTCTCAGACTTCCTTAAAAACAACCAACTCCTTCTCGATTCTCTTGGAGAATTCCTCCCACTAACCGCACCAGAAGAATCCGCAGGGTCATGGCCACTACTGAGTGTTAAAGTGAGTTTCTTCGGATCCGGATCAGGTGTTGCCGTTACTTTGGCCATATCTCACAAAATCTGTGACGCATCCTCCATGCTGACCTTTGCCCAAGACTGGGCGGCCACTACAGCGAAAGGTGGACCGGTGGCCGTGGTGACTGCTCCTCAGTTTGCAGAAACTACCATATACCCTTCTCCTCATAGGATGCAGCCTCCTCCAATGGAGGACGCTGCTCCTCTTTTTGAGCCTAGTGTCAAGTGGGTGATCAATAGATTCATATTCAAATCCTCCAAGATCTCTGACCTCAAACGCAAGGCTGCGAGTGAAAGTGTGCCAGTCCCTACACGTGTGGAAGCCATCTCATCACTCATTTGGAGATGTGCCAGAAATGCCGCACGCTCTAACTCGGCCGCTCCAAAGTCAACGCTCATGTCTCAAGCCATGGACATGAGGCTTAGGGTCCCCTCTAATGTTTTGTCACCCTTCGCTGTCGGGAACCTGCAATCATTTTTCTACCTCAAGAAAAGCGCAGAGAGCGAGATGGAGACTGGCGCAATCGTTACCGAGTTAAGAAAGGCCAAGGACGGGCTCAACGAAATCATCAAAGAGAGTCTCGAGACTAGCACACTTGCTATCAATTTGTTGAGTGTGCTAGGAAATTTAACTGCTGAGTTAAATTCAGGCGTAGACTTTTACGCAATGACTAGCTGGTGCAAAAAGCCTTTCTACGAGGTTGACTTTGGATGGGGTACTCCGGTATGGATTGGAAACTCTTCACTTAGCATCCCAGGCAATGTAGCGTGTGGGATTTTAATGGATTCTAAAGATGGTGAAGATGTAGAAGCTTGGGTAGTCTTACCAAAACAAGACATGGCCGTGTTCATCCGTGACCAAGACTTGCTTACTTATGGTGTCCTAAATCCTCCAGTTTTGATCTAAACTACATATTCGTTTGGTCATCCAAGATTGGGCTATATATGTTTTGTTCTAGTTATTGTTTGGCTTTCGCATTTCCCTGTGATTTTGAATAAAGAGAACAATTATCTCAGTTTTCTATGTTTTTATGATCGTGACCTTGTTTGTACTCTATATGGTTTTAACGTCTGTTTGTTTTTTTTTCTTGTTTTCTAAAGGTTTTAACGTTTGTTTTAGTCAAGTTCTTGCATTTCCCGTTTCCATCAATTAAGCTTAAATCATTTGAAGGTATATTAAGGAAAGGACAATTCTCTCAAATATACATTTTTAAGTTTTAATCATAAAAATAGATTTCAAAAATTAAAATTAGTGAAATAGTATTTTTTATTTTGAAAATTTTAAGTGTTTTTTTTTTGTTTTTAAAAATTTGAAATTCTATCCTCATAACCCACCCCTCAACTTTAAATAAAAAATCTAAGATTAGTTAACCCAAATGATATAAGTATATATTTACTTACTTTTGATAAAACATTTAAGTTTATTTTGAACATTTTTATTTTTAAAATTTATCTTTGTGATAAAAAAATTTTAGACATATCCTAAGGAATTTCTCCTAGGGAAATCCATGTTTCGCCTGGATAAATATATTAATATTTGCTCATATTTTTATCGTGTTTTTTATTTTTATTTGTAGTTAAATATTTATCTATCTATCTATAATAATAAAGTTGGGTTATCTGTCTTCTTCTTTTGCCACATTATCAACAGAGCATGGGACGTTTTTGAACACGTGGCATCTTTAGAAAAAAACCAGCCTTCGAATGATTTTGTGCTTTTGTCTGAGTTGGGTCTTTTGTTTGCATTTTGTTTTCACTATAGATAGTTTTTTTTTTGGATCAAAACACTATAGATAGTTTATGTTTGGGCTTTAAGTCCCTCACAGAGTATGCAGACAAACCCATTAATCTTTAGGGTTTTAATCATCGTCGCCGATGGAGATTTTGTTGCAAAACTATCGTGTCTCTTGAGATCACATTGGCTCCGCCTAAGCCTGGGTAACGGTTACATTCATCATTGTTGTATCGTTTTTTTTTTTTGAGCAAACAACTTCATATTATAAAGAAAGGTCTACAGAACTCCCATGGGAGAAGAGTTAAGCAATAAGAGAGCTGATTTTGACACTAAATCAGCTGGTTCATTACTCAAACGAGGTAAAAATTGAAAAGAGATAGAGGCAAAAGAAGAACTAAAATGATAAATATCGAATAAAACCCCAAACAAAGATGGACATGAACCTCCTTCCTTAATCATCTTCACCAAGGAAAGCGAGTCGCTCCGGACTAATGAGGGATTGAATATTAACGCAGCAGTATGCATAACTGCAGAACGTATGGCAATTGCCTCTGCCAAAAATGACGATGATACAAGTCGACGTGAGTCGGAAATAGAGGGAAGCTGTTGCCCCTGAACTCCACCTGAAAAGAACACCACCAATACCACAATTGAGATTGCTTGCATCCCAAGCTGCATCTACATTACATATAAGCACATCTCTTGGTGAATTCTGAGGTCGCCGGTGATTCTGTGTTGGGGGCACGGTGGTAGAATGGTGCGCTGAACCATCATCCACATCAAGAGCCTCCTGCCACTCTTTCGCATCTGAGATGGCCTTAGATAATATTTCCAGGGCGGAAAAAGTCCTGTTTTCGAAACAGAGGTGGTTCCTTGCTTTCCACAAGTTCCACAACAACCACGGCCATAGTGGAACCGTGAGACCTACAGGGGGAAGGGTACGAAGCTTAGCCACTGCAACTATCAGTTCTTCGATTGAGGCAGGGAACAGAAGTGGTGGTCCATCAAACGTAGCTAAATCCCAAAGTTGTTGAGCTATAGGACAGTGTAGCAAAACATGTGTGCCGTCTTCCATTGCTCCACAACATTTGCAGTAAAAGGCAGGAACTCCCCTAAAAGCTAAATTCGAGCTAGTGGGAATGACTTTATGCGCTAATCTCCAAAGAAAGTTCTTGATCTTAGGAGCTGTTTTTTGATTCCAGATGTGCTTGTTCCAACTAAACAGAGGGGAGGGTGTTAAAGTTTCCAAGCGTTGGCAGATACTGAGACCATAACCTGTCTTTGCTGAGTAGATGCCAGTTTTTCCGGGGAGCCAAACAAGAAGTGTCAGGAGATGGCGCAGCGCTTTTTATAATTCTGAGAATGGTGTCTTCATACTGAGGCAGATAGCGTCTGATCTTGTCCTTGTCCCAGGTATTAGAGATTGGACAGAGTAAGTCAGAAACCATTATATTCTCGTCGTCCATGTTTGCAGGGCCTATTGGAATGGAAGGAAACTCGCAAGACAACCAAGGGTCTTTCCATATCCTTATCTTATCACCACTGCCCACAGCCCAGCTTAAACCTTTGAGCAGAACCTGGCGTCCAGCCAGAACGCTGCGCCATCCATGAGAAGCGTTCGATGGTGCTTGACAGTCAAGGAAGGAGGAGAAGCGGGAGTACTTCCTCAGGAGTACTTGAGCTAGAAGAGATTGTGGATGCTTAATCAGGCGCCAGCCAATTTTTGCAAGAAGAGCATCATTAAAGGTTTCGATGTCTCTAAAACCCAATCCACCTGCATATTTAGGAAGGGTAAGTGTAGTCCACGCAACCCAACACATTTTCTTTTTTTCCGGGCTAGCATCCCACCAGAATCGAGTGAGCAGCGACTGGATTTGCTTGCAGAGTGATAGTGGTATCTTAAAACAAGACATTGTATAGCATGGCATAGCTGAAAGTACAGCTTGGAGAAGAACCTGTTTCTCGGCTCCAGATAAAAAATGAGAGGTCCAGCTGTGTGCTTTCTGTCAAATCTAGTCGAGAATAGAGGCAAAGATGTCCCTTTTCCTTCTCCCAAAATTCTCTGGTAAACCGAGATACTTCCCCAAACCGCCTTCACTATCGATTGCTAAAGTTGCTTTAACTCTTTTTTGACCTCAGATGGAGTTTTAGCTGAGAAAGTAATGGCTGATTTAGCATAATTGATACGCTGTCCCGATAAAGCTTCATACGATCGCAGGATATCCCGAAGAGCGCGGACACTAGGTTGGCTGGACCTGCAGAAAAACATCGTATCATCGGCAAACAATAGATGGTTGACCATTGGGCTACCACGAGCAACTCTGACGCCAGAAAGAGAGCCATCCTGCTGTGCCTTATCGCACATAGAAGAGAGGACCTCGGTGCACAAAATGAAGAGATACGGGGATAACGGGTCCCCTTGCCGTATTCCACGGGATGGCATAACAGACCCCATAGGGGAACCATTTATGAGGAAGGAGTACGATACTGACTCGACACAGCTCATAATCCAGCCGATCCAACGATGATCAAAACCCATATGCGTTAAGACAGCTCGGAGGAAGCCCCACTCGATCCTATCATAAGCTTTACTCATGTCCGTTTTGACCGCCATGGAGCAATATTTATTGGCTTCGGAAGTGCGTAGAAAATAGAGCGTCTCATGGATGATTAAGACGTTATCTCCTATAGCTCGTCCAGTGACAAAAGCGGATTGGGTTTTTGAGATCAAGTTCGGGAGGAGAGGCTTCAGGCGGCGTGTAAGGACCTTTGCGATGATTTTGTAATGTGTGTTGCATAGCGCTATTGGTCGGTAGTCTGCAGTCTTTCTCGCACTGGTAGTCTTTGGAATAAGTCGCATGTGAGTCTCGTTCTGTCTCAGATGCAGGGTGGTGGAGGTGAAGAACAGTCGAATGTCTCGTGTTACATCAGCTCCAATAATATGCCAGCAAGCCTGGTAAAATTTGGCGGAAAAACCGTCCGGGCCCGGAGCCTTCCCGCCATTAATCGAAAAAACAGCTTCTCTAATTTCCGAATCGCTCGGTATACGGGTGAGCATATTATTCATCTCATTAGTAACTTTGCAGGAGAGAAGGCTCTCGACTTTACTGAAATCTTGATTGTTATTTGAAGCAAAGATATCATTAAAGTAAGCCGAGATTACAGCACAGATTTGATTTTCCTCAAAATATTATCTCTTGTCTCCATCTTCAATAACAGAAAGTGTGTTCTGAAGTCTTCATTGCCTTGTGGCTGCGTGAAAAAATCCTGTGTTCCTGTCACCTTCTTTCAGCCACTGAATTCGACTGCGTTGTAACCAGAATTGTTCCTCTTCCTTGTAAGCTGCAGAGAGTTCACTGGTAATCTTATTAATATTTGCTCGGTCAGGGATGTCAGCATCTAGAGCCTCTTCCAGTGCTGATTGATTTTGTTGAGTCACCAGATTCGATTTCTGTTGCTGTTCCTTGGCCCAACGAATTATGCTCCTCCTGCATTCATTGAGCTTCCCAATCACTGATTCCAAAGGAGTTTGATTCCACGCCTTATGAACAAGGGATTCGACCTCTGACTTTTCTGTTAGAGAACGGTTAAACCTGAAAAGTCCTTTCCTCTGAGGTCCTGATTTATTGAAATGAGTGATTACCAGTCTGTGGTCAGATCCTTCGAAACGGAGGTAACGGCATCTTCCCATTGGGAACATTTCACTCCACGCACAGTTAACCATTGATCTGTCCAACCTCGATCTGATCAGGTGTGTATATCTTGCCCCTCTCCAAGACAGAGGGTTACCGGAGTGGCGCAAATCCCATAAGTCGTTCTGAGATACAAAGGAACAGAAAGAAGTAAAAGAGCCTTCACCTCTAGCCGGTCCACCAGTCTTCTCTGAATTACTCAGAATATCATTAAAATCGCCAGTAATAAGCCAAGGAGTATCCCTGTTTGCTCCAATGCTAGTAAGCTTGTGCCAAAAGTTAGCTTTGTTTTCCACTGCAGGTGCTCCATAAATGAAGGAAACAAACGTTGTGGTCCCCTTATATGTTACTTGTGTACTTATCAGATTCGGGGAGGATTCTAAGACCAGGATATCAATCCCATCTTTCCACAGTAGAGACAGTCCACCACTGAGACCAATAGGCGGGACGGAAAAGTAATTTGGGTATCGCAGCTTCCGTAGCTTCCGGTTGATGAACTCATCATCATGTTTAGTCTCCATAAGGAACATTATATCTGGGGAAATACGGCGGTGTATCTCCTTTAGACGTCGAATTGTCAGGATGCTCCCCATTCCCTGACAATTCCAGCTCATGATAGCTAAGGAAGAGGAGGAGGAAGATGATGAAAATCCTGACCCTCATTCTTG